CCAAGTTCACTTCCATGGGGACAGATTCCTAAGTTCGACCCTACACATACTGATCTCCGAGTATACAGCCAGAAGATGCAATTCCTCAGGCAGATTTGGCCTCAGGAACACCTGGAGCACCTTGCTCCTCGAGCTGCCCTATTGATTGAAGGGGCAGCCTTTCAGAAGATTGCCCGGGTTGACCCGTCCAAGCTTCGATCCGTCGATGGTGTCCAACACCTCATAGAAGCATTGGGCGGCCAATGGGGAAAGACAGACACTGAGGATCGATACGATCTGTTTGAGAGGGCATTGTACATGGTGGCCCAAAAGCAGGATGAAACAAATGATTCTTATCTGGCTCGTCATGACATTGCCTTTGAGGATCTCTTGGCGAAATCAATTTCAATCAATGATGTGAGGGCATATGTGCTGATCAGACAGTCCGCACTTAGCTCTGAGGATCGGAAGAAAATCATCATGGACAATGGTGGCCAGTTGACCTATGACTCAGCTCGGAAGAGCCTTCGTCTCCTGGGATCACGGTTCTTTCAGGACTTGCAGGGCAATCGCAACGCTCAGGGCAAGAAGACATATGATGCCTATGCTGCGGAGGATGAGGAACCGGTGAACTTCTCATCTCACGATGGGGAGGCCATGGACATTGACGAGGAGGCGATCTTTCAGCTGATGGCCGAACAAGGGGACGAGGACGCCGTCTTCGTGAGCGACTTCGAAGACCAGGTGGTGGAGGCAGTTCAGGACAGTCCAGAACTAGCCGCCATCTACGTGTCATACCAAGAGGCACGGGCGAGAGTCCGAGAACGGGCCCGAGCCAGGGGCTTCTGGCCTGTCAAAGGCCGCGGCAAGAAGGGGTTCAAGAAGGGCAAGAGCGCTGGTGGTGGAGTCAACACCTTCTCAATGGCCGGCAAGAGAAGGTCGTTGGCCGACAGGATAGCGAATTCGACTTGCAGAATTTGCGGACAGCCGGGCCACTGGAAGAGAGAGTGCCCTCAACGAGCCGAAGGTCGCAAGGCTGAGACAATCAATATGATGGTCGAGAAGGATACCATGGAAGAGTCGAACATGGTCGAGGTCATTGATCAGTTGCCCGATGATGCTACGTCATGGCAGGAGACCGGGGTTCAAAAAGGACATGGG